GGAGGGAGGGAGGAGGGAGGGAGGAAGGAAGAGACTGGCCTGAGGAGGGGCCAGAGGTTGTCAGGGAGAAGGAGGGGCTGGAGGAGGCCGGCTGCGGGGTGGAGAGCAGGGGCCTCTCCCGGAGCTGTGTGACAAAGGTCTGGCGGCCGGGTCTCAGAGGCAGCCCGTGAGGACTGTGCGAGGCAGGGCCACGCTGCCCGCCACACCGTCCAGGAGGCGGGGCGCAGGAAAAGGCGCTCACCGCAGACTGTGAACTGTCGTCTCTGGGGAGAATCGATGCTTCTCTGTCCTGCAGAGGGGGAAGGCGGTGGGGACTGTGCAGCCTCTGGGGAAGACTCGCCCCTGCCCCGGGCTCACTGGTGCAGGTTCCCCCCACTCACCTCTGCCCCCTCGCCCGCCTCCAGTGCAGCAGGCCCAGCGCGGCACAGGTGGCAAGGACACAGCCCGCCGCGGCGCCCACCGCCACTGCCACCGGCAGAGGCGCCGCCCGCTGGGACACGCAGGTCCGGGGCTCTGTGCGGGGCAAGGCAGGGGTGGGCCGCAGCCATCACTCTCCTGCAGCGACATGCCCACCTCCCAACCAGAAGCCCTGGCTGCCAGACAGAGGCCAGCAATGGCTGCCAGGGGGCCTTGGCGGGCGGGAACTGAGGACGTCCAGCTCCCCTGCCCCTGAGCATGTCCCAAAGACCCCCCTCCCTCCCTGAGACCCGCGAGGAAGAAAAAGCAGTAGACGCCTGGCTGCCTGGACTCAGACCACACTGGTCAACTGGCCGCACGTGGCCACCGAGCTGGGCGAATGTGGCCACTCACATAGACACAGATTTTAAAGACTTAACGAAAAAAAAAGTCAAAGACCTCATTCATAATTTCTAAAAACTGATCGCGAGCTGATACAATATTTTTGAATTCTTGGTTTAAACGGAATGTTCCTGAAATTAATTTTACTGGTTTGTTTCCATATGATTAATGTAGCTCCCAGGCCATTCAAATCTTGCGTGTGGCTCGCGCGTGTGGCTCACGTGTGTGGCTCGCGCGTGTGGCTTGCACGTGCGGCTCGCCTCCTGCTTCTGCTGGCCGATGCTGTCCTAAGGCCTCCGCTGATACAATATTTTTGAATTCTTGGTTTAAACGGAATGTTCCTGAAATTAATTTTACTGGTTTGTTTCCATATGATTAATGTAGCTCCCAGGCCATTCAAATCTTGCGTGTGGCTCGCGCGTGTGGCTCACGTGTGTGGCTCGCGCGTGTGGCTTGCACATGCGGCTCGCCTCCTGCTTCTGCTGGCCAATGCTGTCCTAAGGCCTCGGTGGCCTGGAGCAGCGGGGTGGAGGCGGTGTGGGCGGGGCTGTGACCACAGGCACACGCGCCACTGGCCCCTCTGCCCCCCACCCTGCGGCTCGGCCCTCCCAGGCCGAGTCTGCGCCCGCAACTCCTGGTCACACTGGTCTCCTGCTCCGCCAGGCGGGCACATTCTCCCTGCAGCTTGCACCCAGTCCTCGTGCTGCTGGGTGGGGGTACCCTCCAGAAGGGGGCCCAGCCAGGAGCCCAGCCTACCTGAGAAGGCTGAGAAGGAGAAGGTGGTCTCGGGGGGGCCAAGTCTGGTAAAAGCCACGACGCTGAACCTGGGCAGAGAAGCCGGGCCTTCTGCCGGGGAGGGCAGGCGAAGAGGGCAAAGCGCCACATGGCTCGGGAAACCGGGCCATGAGCGACAGACATGCACACAGTGACAGCCCCTTGCCTCTTTACAGGCTATGCGCTGAGCCCCTCGAGAGTTTAGAGCAAGCCACCCTCAGCCGCTCCTCGACCATCCCTGCCCTGCGCCAAGAGCAGGGAGCCTTGGAAATAGGCACCCAAATGTCCTGGGCACTGCCCTGCAAGTGGAAACAGAACCCTTCCCTGCTCCCCTTCTGAAAAAAAGAACCATGTTAACAGATGGGTGTTTCCCTTTTCTCCTTGCCTACCAGGGAGCCCATTCGAAATAATGTGATGGACCCTCATGGACCACCACATGCCCTCTCTTTGGAGTCAGCCCAGGTCATAGGTTGAAAATGTGGAAATTCCCACAAATGAAGCTCACAGAGGCTCCCCACCCCCCTTCGGCCCTGGCTCTCACCGATACTGGGAGCCCGGCTTCAGCTGCCCGTTACATATCTCCCGAGCTTGGCCACAGTCCTCCGTGCCCACGGGCACCGCCCAGGCTCCCGGCGTGGCCCAGGGCCCCGGGTGGAAGGGGCTGGGAAGCAGGGTGGCCAGGTAGGAGTCGTGTCCCCCGTAGAAGTGGTCGTGCCACGTGCGGTTGACGGCTTCGCGGGGGGGCCGAGCCACTGGGGGCAGAGCGGGGAGGGCGCAGCAGGGTGGGCGTGGGGCCCGCGAGTCCCCAGCGTGCTCTCGTCACAGGCATCGGCCAGCCTTTGGGATGCCCGGTCCCGCCGCCCCAGGCCAGCACTCACGTGACGCGTTGGTGCTGGCAATGACACCGTACCACTGGATCTGCCCGTCGTCCTCACCAAACAAGCCCCGTGTGAGCACCACACCCATCTGCGGCCGTGGCGCCAGCTGGGGGGCTGCGGCTAACTCTGGGGGGCGCCAGGCTGGGACGGAGAGGAGAGAGCGAGGTCCTGACCTACCCTTCCCACTGGTCTCCAGGGGCAGGGCCAAGCCGTCACGTCCCCAGGGCCTCATCGTGTCCGGTGACAAGAGGCTGCCAGATACAACTCTAGAAGTGGACAATCCTGGGCCAGAAGCAAGGACATGAGGCTCCAAACTGGCGTGGCACCAGGTCGGGGCAGAGGAAGGGGCCGGCTTGGGGCTCAGGGGAGGGGGAGCCCCGTGGGCAGTCGGGGGGACGACCGAGGGGCCTGGGCTCCAGAGGCCGCGGGGGCCTACCGTCCGCAGAGGTGGCGCACACCAGCGTGACCGTCCGGCTCCACAGACCGTTGCTGCCCAGCACGTGGAGGCTGAGGCGGTAGCGGGTGGCGGGCAGCAGGCCGGGCAGCTGGAGGGCCCCCCCGGACGCGCTGGCCTCGAAGACCCGCCGGGCGCTCCCTCCTAGCTCCAGATGCTCCACCAGCACCGCACAGGTGCCCACGTCCCCCGCGGGCACCGTCCAGCTCAGGCCCAGGCGGGTGGCCTTGGGCTGGCACTGCACGTCCTGCACAGGGCCGGGCTCTGTGGAGGGGAGTCTTGAGCTGTGGGTGTCAGTGCGCCCCAGGGCGATGGCGTCGGGGTCAAGGGCTCAGAGTGAGCAGGTGCAGAGGGCTGGGCACTGGTGAACCCAGGGGAGGGCACTAGCCCCCGGGGTTACCGCTGCCCTTCTGGAGGGCCGTGGGGAGCAGGGCATGGGGGTGGGGCACCGTCTCGGAGCAAGACAGCGGGGCCGCAGCTCGAGCCGGGGCTGCCTCTCAGAGCGTCTTCCTCCTCTCGAGAGCCACGTACCAACGGGCAGCACCACGGGGTGAGTGGACGCCTGCAGCGGCCCCGCCCGGCACAGCACGGTCAGGGAGAGGTTGCGTCCAGGCGGGAGGTCCCTCAGGACCAGCTGGGCTTGGCCCAGCACCAGGGGCTGCTCCCGGAAGAGACGTCCAGCCCCTGAGAGCTGGGCACAGCATACTGCCCGCCCCAGGGGGCCGCTGGCCCAGACCAGGCTGATCACGGCGCTGCCTGCCCGCATGGACACCAGCAGCTCGCTGGGCATGAGCAGGGCTGTGGGAGGGAGGGAGCAGGTGGGCCCCGAGCGCACGGCGGCGTGCAGGGCCCGGGGTGGCAGGCAGGACGTGAGAGCGA